TTCTTGCTCACGACGAACTAGCCCCAGACGGCATCCCAGCCGAATATGTCATACAGACCGTGCCGTGGAGGAGTGGGGCTGGCCAGGATCTTATCGTCGAAGCGCAACGAACGTTGGAAGGCAGTAGCCGGGCCCCAACAGGGTGGACCGCACCTAGGCCACCCCGTCCGGGGAAGGGTCGCCCTGGCCGGGGGGAGGAGACCCGTTGCCACTCCTCAGTTCCGAGTTCCCGCCCCTCACGTTCCGCGCCCGGAGGCTCGTCCAGTTCCCAAGAGAGAAGGGAAAGCCGCGTTGTCCCTGCGGCAGCCAAAAGAGCAAAGATCCTCCCTGGGACTCTTGGGCAAACGGCTCGAGGGGTGTAAACTCTGTAACAAGCAGTTCAGTGACCCCTACCAATTCCAAGCGCATCTTATACCGAGGGACATCTTCGCCGCATGGATAGGCACTGCCAGGCTTGGCGAGCCACTGAAGCGCAGGCAGGAACCGGCTCGAGTGCGCCCCCAGATGCCGACGGGCCCGACGTCCCCGAGGCGCGCTTCGCGCCCGGGGAAGCGGTGCAGGGTTTATGGGGTCCTAAGAAAGAAGAGGGCGAGCCGGAGGATGAGAAGTTGAGGCCGATGGTCGAAGCTGTGCAGGCCCTCGCGAAAAGTCGCAGAAGCCGTGCCGGCTGCCCACTCGATGGCAGTTGAGACGGGTACCCTTGCCGCCCACACCGCGGAAGAAGAAGTGGACTGGAGCAGCGACGAGCCGGAATTCGACATCGCGCAAGCAGTCCCCGCAGGGGAAGACGACTCCAAGGAAGCGAAGAAAGAGGACGGAGCAGAGGAGAGCCGGGATGACGCGCCTCCCACACGCCCCAGGAAGAGAGTCCTCCTTGCCACGGGGCATTTGGCCCTGCTGCGCGAGCTTGCCGCAGCCAACGCCTCCAATTGGGCTTCCATTAAGAGAACCCTGAGGGACGCTCCGGCTGAGCAGAAAGACAAGGACACGCTGATTGGAAAGCTAGAGGAGCTGGCCGGCACGTTTGCGCAAAATCGAGACGAGTGCGCCCGGGCCGCTGCTGCGAAAACCGAGGAATTGGCCGAGCTCGAAGAAGCCGAAGCGGAGTACCTTGCGCGGTTACCAGCGAGCCTCATGGAACTGGAAAGGCGTAACCCGGTACGTCCGAGCGTGAGCTCCGCCCTAGGGTGGGTGGAGCACGAGAAATTCAAGCGCGACGTCGAGGCAAGCGGTATCTGGGTCGCACGGCGGCGTGAAAAGGCACGGCGCCGAGCCGCAAAGCATAGGGCCGAGCTGCAGACAGAAGCTGGCGTCAGAGCCGGCGCGGAGCAGGATCCTGTCGAGAATAGGGAAGATGCCGCACAACACCTCGATTTCCAAATGCAAGAGGCCGCCCGACGTGATATCCGTGAGTTCAGAGCAGAGCTCAGGAGGGAGGCGCCTCAGGTGGAGCCCAGGCCCCCAGCTAAGCGGGCGCCAGAGTCCGAACGGCGGCGAAAAATCAAGTGGACCAGGTTCCAGTCCAAACTTAAAGAACGAGGACACGGCGAGAGTGCGAGCTCGGGGAAGAGTACTAGGCCGAGGCCTGCTTCAGGCCCGGCCAAGTACGACCCGCGCGAGTCTGAACAGAACCACCCCTTCGCGCATACCGCAGGCTCACGGGATAGCTCGGAGACCACTTCCCTTGCAGCCAACAAAGAAGGCGAACCTGCAGCTACTTGCACGGCCAGCTCAGACGAAAGCAGAGCTATTGGGATCAGCCATGCGCTCACCCAGCCTATGCCCCACGCCGCACATTTCCCCGTGGACCGTTTCGGTCCCGGGGGGCCGGTGGGACAGGAACAGGGGGGGCAGCCTTCTGCCTGGGAAACAAGCCTATTGGTAGGTGTCCTGTTGGGTTGGGCTTTGTCATGGATATGGGGTAAGGTCAGGCGACCTAGACGCAGAAACCCACACTAACCGTCCGGCCAGAGATCCGGGCACCGACGACGCCCGAAGAGACACTAACCATGCGATTGCGCACCAGTGTGGTGATCTGCTTGCGTTAGAGGAGGTTTGCGTCATGGTCTTATGCCTAATAACCCTTGTGGCGTGGCGCGTTTCGCGCCCGCCGACCGGGAAGGTAAGTAGGGGCAAGAACGCCGACACGCGGGCGGGTGGCCTCAACGAAAAAAGGGTCCGTTTCCAATCGGATCCTAGCCCTCCTGCTTCCCCCATTTCTTCACAACAAAGTACCATGACGACGCGACGCCACCGGCGTAAAGGAAAGCGCCCGCTGGTCACCGAGGTGCCCGCAAGCCCCCGCACTGCCAAGGCCAAACATGCAGCGAGCACACCTACGCCCGGAGTGATGCCTGCCACCACATGGGCCCAAGAGAGTCTGCGCCTGGTCAAGGATCATCTCACTCCCACGACCCAAAGGCTCTATGACAGCCACTGGAAATGGTGGGAGGCGGAGGAAGCTGGCCGCGCTCCGATACGTGGATCGTTACGATCCCGTAGAGGAAGCCCTGCTCCTTGACTACCTGGTTTTCCTGTGTATGGGCCATCCACGGCCAATGCAAGGATGGGGGCGGTGCGGAGTGTTCACCTTCAACTGGGCTTCCCTGACCCGCTTGTGCCACATCCAAGGGTGGGGTTAGCCCTGGAAGGCATCCGTAGGAGGAGAGGACCAGTCGCCAAGCGGCGGCCTGTGACACCTGGAATGCTACAAAGAGCTGACGATACCCTCCCCTGGACGAGGTTGGGGAGAGCCCTGTCATGCGCCCTGCTAGCAACCCTCGCTTGGGGCTGCGTACTGGAGAAGTCAAGCTCTTCCGCCAAGGCATCCTCCTCTGCCACCCACCATTTCATGTGGCCGACGAGGTTCAAATAACTGTGCGAGCCTCAAAAACAGACCCCGAAGGCGAGTCGGCAACACGCAATTTGTATTGTAGTCAAGCCCCCGTCTGCCCTGTTAGAGCCACCGCGCAATATCTGGACGCATCTTGGGCAGAAGTCGGAGGGCCAATGGTCGACGGGGCGTTGTTCTTCGAGGGTATCTCTCGTCTAGGTATCCAGGCGGCACTTCAGACTGTCGCCCTGACGCTGGGTCTGAACGCTTCAGCGTATACGCCGCATTCGTTACGATTCGGCGGAGCGTCTGCAATGTGGTCTGGAGGAATAGATTCCCACACCCTCAGGACGTGGGGGAGATGGAACTCTGATGCGTTCCTCGCATATTTGTGGGGATCCAGGAAGGCCACATTGGAAACCTCTTATAAGATGGCCACTGCAGACATGACACCAATAAGGAGTTTCCCAGAGCGCGCTCGAACCCCCCCTTTTTTGCCAGGTGGCACCCGAGTTTTGGCTTGGGGTCTCCATGTCGTGTCGCGTTTCGCGACCGACAGGATACACCCGTCAAAGGGGGATCTGTCACAGTATCGTATGCTGCCACCACACCCTGTTTCTTGCCTGTCGCGTCGAGTTTCTTGACCAACATGGCATAATGGATAGGGGGAGGTAGCACGAATAGTGCAAAGAAGAGGATTTTTGAGTCACCGCGCGCAAAAAAGTCTGCCCGAGCTCCTGTGAGTAGAAACGAGGTAGCCTAGGCTTGCCGTGCGTTATGTTTCACCTCACTAGAGCTCTAGGCGCAAGGGTGGCCCACCCACCCGCCCCCAGCACGAATAGTGCAAAGAAGAGGATTTTTGAGTCACCGCGCGCAAAAAAGTCTGCCCGAGCTCCTGTGAGTAGAAACATTTTGTAACCATGCACACCCCCCTAGGCCAAAAGACCCAAAACACAACAACCTATACCTCAGCCCTAAACCCACCGAAAGACCCATAGGTAGAACCCTCGGAATAACTCACCTGAAGACCCAAAACCATAACAACCTATACCTCAACCCTAATACTGAAATTCCTGTCGATAGGTCTTAAGAAAAGAATTTCTGAAGACAAACACTTAAAGAAATAAGAACTATCTGTATTAAGAGGAAAATGGATTATGCAGATCTAAATACAAAAATACAAGCGAAGTCTATCAAGAAGATATATGAAATGAAATTAGATGAAATAGATTATTCAAATAAAAGTAAGGAGTTGTGTAAGTTGCTCAACTTAAAGCGTTGTTGATCAAGAAGATGTCTTGAATATTAAGCACATGATATCTATTTTAGAAGGTAAAATCTCAGAGGAAAAAAATTGATAAAACAATATTCGGATTTAATTGAACATATTGAAATACTTGGGAAGCGGAGACATTAAATATTTGGATGTGAAACCCAAAGAATGGAGTTAAGTGGTTGAATAAAAGTATTAAGGACATTGAAGAAGAATACAGCGAACTAGTCAAGCCTAAATAATAACCCAATAAAAAAATTGTCTTGTTGAAATAATGTTATTCTTGTTTCTTCTTCCTACCTTATCCCCAAACCTTATTCCTAATATAGATACTTTCTTAGAGAATACCATTTCCATTTTCAAGGGTTAGGGATTTCGGGTTGGGAATATGGTTTTTTCTATGGGGGTGTTGGTGTATGGGTTTGAGGTTGGGGTTTTTTTCTATGTGGGTTTTCTGCTGGTTGCATCTTGTGGGTCTTACTATGGGTCTTTGGGTGAGTTTAGGGTTGAGGTGCAGGTTGTTATGGTTATGGGTCTTCGGGTGGCCTAGGGCGGGCATGGTTAGAAAATTTAAATGGTATCCGCTAACTGAAAGTGGGATGCCTTGCGCCGGCAGTTAGGAGGTGCCTTACATGCCGCTCATCTCTGGTCGGCACAACTCACAATAACGCCGAGACCATGAACTTAAACATGAACCTGAACATTTGCGGTAACTAGCGATGGCCTCTGTCTAGGGCACTGGGGTGGGAAGGGCTTGGAGAGCCCCAGCAGGCTTTCGTCTAGTGCAAGTCCCGTCCTAAAGGACAATCAGGCTTAGCGGTATCACTGTTTCAGTCATTCGTTCGTTGTCCTACTGCACGCATTCATGCTGCTGAGGGAAGCTTTTCCAGAAGCATGCACATGCAGAAGTATGGTCGACGATGTCGGTTCTCGTACGCAGACTGCATGTGCTGCGTATGGGCCGACAAGGAGATCCAGGAGTCTTACGCGGAGCTCTTTTATGGAGCAGGCGAAGGCTGAGAATCTAAACACCCTAAGTGCACCCTTAGCACCACGAATGTTAGACCTAGGACTTGCCCTAAAGCCTGGACCAAGACGGAAACAACAGGAGCCCACAGCTTCTGAGAGAGAGTTACAAACGAGCGTTCTAACCGGGACGGGATCGGGGGCTCGAGGAGGAAAGTGGCAAGGCTGAGAATGATATAGAATGATGCCCATGAGAGGTACCACACAAATTTCTAGAAAAAGAGAAAGAGAGAGAGAGAGAGAGAGAGAGAGAGCGAGAACGAGCCTTCCACTCGTCCCTGGTCCTTTGCAAATTGGGTTCAGTAGTTGATCTTCATTGTCTTCACTGGCGAAATCGTTCGCGTCATGCAGGGCGCAGCAAAAGTTCGGTGGCGCCAGCGGAGCAGGCAGATGCCCAAGGCCCGGGTGCCGGCGCAGTCATGATGGGCCATATCCAGTCACGGCCCTAAGCCCTAACATCTGAAACTGAGGCCTCAGGCTTTAGGTCTTGCAGACACGGATAGAGAAGAAGATGTTGCTCACACATTTGTACACAAATATGATACGTGAACATCCTGAGATGGGATGCTGCATCAGGGCAACCAGGGTTATCTGGTGTTTCGTGTGCATTCGTGAGAAGCTGTGCATCTTGGCTGCTTCCAGAGCACACTACTGTGACCTCAAGTCTTCCTTTAGGGTTAGTTCTTGCGAGGCGTGGACAAATCGACGATGGTGCAGGCTCCGCGATTTTTTGGAAACCATTGTGGGGCTGGCCGGCACTCTCCAGGATAGCCCATGTCGCGTGCTTCTCCTTGGCACCTCAACCTAATTTTTTTGGGGCGGCCCTTGCGACTCGGAAGCACATTCCTGTGCACATTTCACTGAACTGTGAGGAAAAGTCGGAGTGACGTAGTGGACTTCACTACTGGTACTCGCGTTGCCCACGTTTGCCCGGGCAACTGTTGCTTCTAGTTCTAGTCCGTTGGTACTGGTACTAGTTCGACTACTAGTACGAGGAGTAGTAGTAGTACTACTACTACTACTACTACTACTACTACTACTACTACTACTACTACTACTACTGCTACTGCTACTGCTACTGCTACTGCTACTGCTACTGCTAACCACTGCTCATCATTCGTTCACTCCACTCCCATGCGCAGCGGTTCGTCCAGCTTTAGTGGCATGGCATTGCAGCGGTGCTTCACAAGAACGCTGAACGGAAGGTCTGTATTCCACATATGAGAAGCAGAGCTGTGCTACGAATAGCAGCAAACTCCTATTTCACCAAAGACAGCACATGCACCATATAAACTCAAAGCTGAACCGGGTGGTCAGCTCAATGATGGTCTGCACTCGACATCGGTTGAGGACCCTCCATGGAGAGTGGTGCTACTGTTATGCGTCGCATGGCACAAGTTGCCTCGTTGACCAGACTCAGCACGGGCCATTCCACTACCTTCAACGAGGGACTAGTAATCAGCAGTCCACAACGAATGCCACAACACATCCCTCCCCTATCGCAAGAAGAGTTCCATGAGGTGGGCAATCAGGCAATCGTACAGAAATACAGAAACCGACTCTCTGACACTCTGGAGATTTTTGCAGCTTTTCGGCGGAGGCGATGTCGGAAGAAGATTCCTCCTCACCACGACGAGGCTTCCTGAGATGCATTCGGATTCCACATGGCTTAATGTTTGGTTCAGAATATGTAAGCAATTCAAGCCCTCCATTCCTTTTCAATCCTGCATGGACCTTGCCGCTCACAGCGGTTTTTGCAGCCCTCTTTCAGCTGCCTTGGAAGTCTACCTGAGCAGTCCAAGCACCATAGGGCCCTATTTATCATTCTATTTCAACATTCACTTGCGTCTTCCTCAAGCCTGCACGCAAACTATGCAAGGCTGGCTTTTTTTCTGTCGCCAGAAATCACAGCGCGGCATTTTGAAGGGCCCTGTGGTGACAGAGCTGCCTTGTGTGATGTCTTGCTGGCTTGTGGCGAGGTGAGAAGTCACCGGCCTTCTCTGCCCCCAGATCCAAATCCAAGTCAGGACCTACGCTCCTTTGTTCTGAGAGCTAAGCTCGTCTCCGTTCTGTGTTTCATGTCGCGGGTCGTGGTGTCACGAGTTGCGGTTGCGACTCATGTTCAATCTCGGGTTCGGGGCGGTTGAATTGGTTGGGATCTCTGTGTCTCTGTCTTTGTCTCTGTCTCTGTGTGTGTGCGTGCATGCATGCGTGCGTGGGCACGTCGGCACATGGGCGCGTGTGCGCGTGGGCGAGCAGGCGGGCGGGAGGGCTGTGGGTGTGTGCGGGCGCATATGCCTCTCTGTCTGTCCGTCTGTCTTTCTGTCTGTCTGTCTCTGTGTGCGAGTGTGCGAGTGTGCGAGTGTGCGAGTGTGCGCGTGTGCGCGTGTGCGCGTGTGCGGGAGTAGTGAGAGTGTGAGAGTGTGAGCGTATGTGGAGAGGTGTGTGAGGTGTTGAGACGTTGTTGATGATGTGTAGTGTGAGACGTGTGAGATGTGTGAGACTCGTGTGAAGGTGTGTGAGGGTGTGAGAAGATCGAGTGCGCGGTTGAGAGCATTGTGGTTTTTGAGCGCGTCGAGTGAGAGGTATCTCATGTGCGAGTGCGAGGTGGTGAGAAGTGTGAGAGTGTGGCAGTGTGCGAGTTGTGCGCGTGTGCGCGTGTCGGTTTGGTTGGTGTGAAGATTGTGAGGCATTCGTGAGAGTGTGCGGGTGAGTGCGAGGGGCGCGTGTGAGGGGAGTGTTGTTTTTCTATTTTGGTGCGAGGCTCTAATGTTCGGGGTGAGAGAGTGACGCGAGTTTTGAGCGTATTATGTTGCTGAGAGAATTGTGCGAGCGTGGTAGAGCGAGTGAGAGAGACGTGCGCGAGCGTGCAGGTTGAGGAAGTGGGAGGCATGTAGAGCGCTTGTGAGAGCAGGTTAGTGCGCCCTGGGTGTGAGAAGCGGTGAGCGAGTGTGTAGTGTGAGACGATGTGGGAGTAGTGGGCGTTGTGGGAGTGTGGGAGGTTGGGCGTGTGTGCCGTGTTGTGTGAGTGTGTGAGTTGTGTGAGTGTGTGCGTAGTGTTATTGTATATGGAGAAATTTGTTTGTGTGAGTGTGTTGAGTGCTGGGTGTGCGTGTTGGGTGGCGTGTGTGCGTGTGTGGTGTGTGCGTGTTTCGCGTGCGTGAGGTGATACTGTTAGTGTGCGCGGTGTGTGTGGTGGGTGTGTGTGTGTGTGTGTTGTGTGTGTGTGTGTGTGTGTGTGTGTGGGTGTGTGTGTGGGTGTGTGTGTGTGTGTGTGTGTGTGTGTGTGTGTGTGTGTGTGTGTGTGTGTGTGTGGTGTGTGTGTGTGTGTGTGTGTGTGTGTGTGTGTGTGTGTGTGTGTGTGTGTGTGTGTGTGTGTGTGTGTGTGTGTGGTGTGTGTGTGGTGTGTGTGTGTTGTGTGTGTGTGTGTGTGTGTGTGTGTGGGTGTGGTGGTGTGTGTGTGTGTGTGTGTGTGTGTGTGTGTGTGTGTGTGTGTGTGTGTGTGTGTGTGTGTGTGTGTGGTGTGTGTGTGTGTGTGTGTGTGTGTGTGTGTGTGTGTGTGTGTGTGTGTGTGTGTGTGTGTGTGTGTGTGTGTGTGTGTGTGTGTGTGTGTGTGTGTGTGTGTGTGTGTGTGGTGTGTGTGTGTGTGTGTGTTGTGTGTGTGTGTGTGTGTGTGGTGTGTGGTGTTGTGTGTGTGGTGTGTGGGGTGTGGTGTGTGAGTGTGTGCGTGTGTGTGCGTGTGTGTGGTGGTGTTGCGTGTGTGGTGTGTGGTGTGTTGTGCGTTTGTGAATGTGTGGTGAGGTGTGTGAGTTGGGGGTGTGCGTGTGTGAGTGTGTGAGTTGTGCGGTGTGTGTGTGTGGGTGTGTAATGTGTGGGTGTGTGCGGTGTGGGTGTGTGGGGTGTGTGTGTGGTGTGGGTGTTTGGGGGTGGGGAGGCGTGTGTGGTGTGTGTGGTGTGTGGCGTATTATTACGTGGTGTGTGATGTGTGGTGTGTGGGTGTGGGGGTGTTTTGGGTGTGTGGGGTGTGGGTGTGGGGGTGTGGGGTGTGGGTGTGTTGGTGTGTGGTGTGTTGGGGGTTTTGTGTGGTGTTAGGTGTTGTAGGGGTGTTTGGGTGTGGTGGTGGGTCGAGGAGTGTGTGTGGTGTGCGGGTCGTGGGGTAAGTGTTGTGTGTGGGTGTGTTGGGTGTGTGGGGTGGTGGGGTGTGGGTGGTGGGTGTAGTGGGTGTGTGGGTGGGTGGGTGTGTGGGTGGTGGGTGTGGGGTGTGTGGGTTGTGGGGGTGTGTGGGTGTGTGGGTGTGTGGGGTGTGGGTTTGTGTGGATTGTGGGTGTGTGGTGTGTGGGTGGTGGGTGTGTGGTGTGGGTGGGTTTGTGTGGGTGTGGGGGTGTGGGGGTGTGGGGGTGGGGGGTGTGGGGGGTGGGGGGTTGTGGGGGTGTGGGGGTGTGGGGGTGTGGGGGGGTGTGGGGGTGTGGGGGTGTGGGGGTGTGGGGTGGGGGGTGTGGGGGGGTGTGGGTGGGGTGGGTGGGTGGGGGTTGGGTGCGGGGTGGGTGGGGGGTGGGGGGGGTGGGGTGGGGTGGGGGGTGGGGGGGGTCGTGGGGGGTGGGTGGGGTGGGGTGGGGGGTGGGTGAGTGGGGTGGGTCGTGTGGGGTGGGGTGGCGTGGGGTGGGTGGGGGTGGGTGGGTGGGTGGGGATGGGGTGGGGGGGGTGGGTGGGTGGGTTGGGTTGGGTGGGGTGGGTGGAGTGGGTGGACTGTGGGTGGAGTGGGTGGGTGGGTGGGGTGGGTGGGGTGGGTGGGTGGAGCCCCTCCCCGTTGGGTGGGGTGGCAGGGGTGGGGTGGGGTGGGGGGGGGGTGGGGGGGGTGGGGGGGGTGCGGGTGGGTGGGGTGGGGCCTGGGGTGCCCCCGGGGGGTCCGGGCCAACCGGGGTGGGGTGGGTGGGGTGGGTGGGTGGGGTGGGGGGGGTGTGGGGGTGTGGGGGTGTGGGGGTGTGGGGGTGTGGGGGTGTGGGGGTGTGGGGGTGTGGGGGTGTGGGGGTGCGGGGGTGCGGGGGTGCGGGGGTGTGGGGGTGTGGGGGTGTGGGGGTGTGGGGGTGTGGGGGTGTGGGGGTGTGGGGGTGTGTGGGTGTGTGGGTGTGTGGGTGTGTGGGTGTGTGGGTGTGTGGGTGTGTGGGTGTGTGGGTGTGTAGGTGTGTGGGTGTGTGGGTGTGTAGGTGTGTGGGTGTGTGGGTGTGTGGGTGGGTGTGTGGGTGTGTGGGTGTGTGGGTGTGTGTGCGGGGGGTGCGTGTGCGGGTGCGTGTGGTGCGTGTGCGGGTGCGTGTGCGGGTGCGTGTGCGTGTGCGTGTGTGTGCGTGTGCGTGTGTGCGTGTGCGTGCGTGTGTGCGTGTGTGCGTGCGTGCGCGCGCTCTTGCGCGTGGGCGTGCGCGGGCGTGCACGTCTGTGCTTCATGTGGCATGCAGGAAACTTTGCGGATCACATCTTTGGCATGATCCCGGACACTGACGACAAAGTGCCTTAGAAAAATGCCTGGGTTCAAACGCGTTTGGCAGTTGACAAACTGATTTCGCCAAGCTGAGGCACTTCCCTCGACTCACGGCCGCTTGACATGATCTGAGCAGACTTGCCATAGGAAGATTGAGAAGATGCGCGAAGTTTCAGCACTCTTGACAATTCAGGCAAGGACTGCTGTACCCAACTTTGTCATGTACCTCCGTCGCTGCATTTGCAGAAGCGGCTTCGTGTCCCAGACCTTGTCATATTCTTTCCCTGTTGGCCGAAGCGTGGCTGGCGCGCGATTCCACTGCCAGGTTGCTGTCGCAACCGCCTCCGGTGGCTCATACAGAATCAATGGCTACTTGTCTGAACAGCTCGCATTCTGACAAGAAGTGCCTGAACGCACGAAAGCAAGCTCCTTTCGAGCTCTCGCCATCTTTTTCAAAGAAGGCTACTTTTCAAATATTCGCAGGGCCTGGGCCGATGCTTCGGCGCCAGCTCCAGAAGGTTTAGGGTTGCAGGTTCAGGGTAGGCCCCTTCCCCGATGGCCCCCCTCGTTCCGCTTAAGAGAAGACGCGCTTTAGGACATCAAAAGCTTCCCAGCTGAAAGAAACACAAATGGCACATTTTTGAGATTGAGTTTGAGTTGAAAAATGCGCGAGCTCCGCAATGGATGAAAACGAGGTCATCGAGAGTTCAATCGTTGAGAATACGTTGGGATTGGGGTGCAGCTTGGCAGCTTGGCCAGAGGTTTGACTTCCTGATCATGGGCATGATCCTCATCCACACGCTCTCCATCGGCCTCTCAGAAGGGGAAAATAGGAGAGCTCGGAGTCGCAACGAGTGCCTTTCTTTGCCAATAAGCATTGGAGAACCGAGATCTTGGTTGTTTTGGTTGTTTTCGAGGCACCCCCCACCCAAGGTGCTCAGATCAATCACCTAGCCGCCACTGAGAGGACGGATGGCGGCAGGCGAGGCGCAGCCACAAAGCCAGCAGCACCTCAACGTCCCAGAAGCTCTCAACCCGGCAATTATACGTTTTGGGTTTCAAGTGGAGAGGCGTCGTGATGCCTCTTGGCCAACTGGTCTCTTGCGCCAGGTTCTGGCGGTCGGTCGACTTCTTCTTCTGTGTTTTCTTTGCCATTGAGGCCGCCACGCGCGAACTCCATGAACTCGCTGAACGCTCTGAACTCTCTGAACTGCACTCTAAGCCCTTGCCTGTGCAGGTCGCCATGAAGGTGTATGTCTACCGGACGCTCGGCCTTTGCACTCGAGGGCTTTTCGGGAAGAGGTCTGGCGCAGATTTGCTAGGAAAACCGGTCTCCCAGAATCTGTTGATTTATGGCTCACAAGCATGCAGGGCGAAGGGCTTTATCACTATAAGCTCAGCACTTTGAGAAGTTTCTGAGTAGGGCGAGGTCTACCTCAGACCAGCAGACCCGCTGAGAGCACACACAAAACACACAAAGCTGGAAGGCAGCAGTGGCATTCTTCAATGATTCGAGAATGGTGGCATCGTGCTTGGTGCACTGAGTTTAGCCTGTCTGCTATGTAGCGAAACACTTGGCCTTCATTGCCAGGCACGATCAGTTACTGGTATTCTGCACACACACACACACACTCCGGGTTTGATGACACCACACAATGCTTGTTGACGAGCGGTTCGTCGCCATCCACCACTGAACTGAAGCCGAGCTGCAGGCTCTTAATTGCCGAAAACTGCCAAGGTGCGAGGTGCTTAGTTGCTGCAATGTACGCCAAGGGGCATCCCTATGAAGCCAAGTCGCAAGCACTCATCCAAGTTGCAAGTTGCAAATGGGTTCTTCGCGGGGTAAACATCACAAGCATAAAGCAGGTACGTCACCAGGCGTCCCCGTATTACCC